GATAACAATTATGAGTGACGTGAACGTTTTGGTTTGTATTTGAAAACTTATTATTCAAGTTGTATGGTATATATTGGAATCCGGAATCCTTATTACCATGTTTATAACGTGCAAGTGTCTATCTGGAATGTTTCTGGATGATCTGTAAAAAGGGGAAACCGTTTGTATGTTACTGCTGGATTATAGCATTGAGGGACTAAAATTTAGATGGTTTAAGGATGTCTTAATGTGATTGACAGGTGCATCTAAAGTGGTCTTATTGCTCATGCGGTAGCAGGTAACCCTAATTTCAGAAGGTTGTTTCATGAAAGTTTATATCTCTGAAAGGTGTTTCATTTCTGTTGATTACAATTTAAACCCTGGAGATTGAATGGATTTTGATTAGTTGACTGTTATCTCTGTCTGGTAGCTATATGTACATTTGCCTTACTTTTTATTTTAAGGGGTAGGGATACTGGTTGTCTCTTTATGTGTGAAGTAAACTTGGATGATGGTACTGTAAGGGCATGCTGCAGCCACTGGGGTAATGTCTAGTTGCATGGTTGGTTGTAGCCAGAGAGGGAGACTAAATAGTTATCTAACTAGTGATCTTAACCTATATGGGCAACATCTGTACTGTGGTTACCATAAAGTGTAGCAGATTTATATTGTTGCACTCTAAAGAACAGTGTAGGAGATTTTACATCACTACACTTAGCTCATATGTGACAGATATTATATCGTTACTGAGCTTCAATCTTTAGTGATAGATCAAGAGTGTGTGACGCGTATGTCATGCAGATAATTGTCATATGACAGATATTGGTCCTTTACTGTCTTTGACTTTATCCTCTAATGATCATTCACTTGGATTGTAAATATTCCCAGAGTCACAGTGATGAATCAAGAGTGATGCCTGTGTGACAGTTATAATATTGTCATGCTGGAATGGCTGAAGCCATGAGACGTCATTCTCAGAATTTGTCAATTGTGTTCTCTGAATTACAGGAATCTTTTGTTTTGTTTTTGTGGATTCCTGTGTAAATAATTATTTTTGTCCATGCTGGAGTCATTTTTGTTTTTGTAGACTCAGTCTTTGTAAATATGTAAAGTAACTTTGTTCATATTGGAGTCATTTGTTTTGATTTTGTGGACTCCCTTGTAAATCTGTACATGTACCGTTTCTTTGTGTAAATATCTTTTTAACTTGTATATATTTCAAGAATTTCAGGTGAGCACCGCTGGAATTGCTAAGGAACTGCTTGAATGATTCTATTAGAAAAAGTTGAAGTAAACTCATCTCTTTCAAATAAAGAGGGGAGGAGTGTTGTGATTGTGCCGGAAGCACTCCCCGAACTACGGAGACGAGTCTACACCACCTGGCGGGAGTGCAGTATATTAGTAGACTAAGAGCAGTTCGAGCCACGACGCGAGAGGGTGCGGACTCACCTACACACTTTTCTACTGTATATACCCACACAGTTACACAAGGAGCTTCGACCTGTGAATACGGAGAGCGGATCTGGCGACGTAGAGCAGAGCTAAATAAGGACACTCGGTGCGAGGAGAGGACACACGAGCCTCGAACGGAAGACAGATAGCTCGCATAAACACTTTACTCCCACGTCTTTAAAATTTAAGTAGGAGTGGGATATTATAAAGTTAGACAGATATCTAAACAGTTAAATTAGTAATTATTACTTACTGCTTATTCTCAATTAAGCAGCGGCAAAGCCAAACAATGAAAATATTTTCAAACGAATGCAGAATGTACTGGATGACAATTATATAGATTTATTTGATCTTAAAGTGCGATGACGTGTTATTGTCTAAAAATACATGTGACAGAGCTTGCATTTGTCGGCTCCAATCACAAGAAACCACGCGGGAGACAGACACTTACATATGACGACAGCTCACTGTCATGACAAAGAAAAGGAATGTACGTAATTTCAATGCTGACTTTCAAAGTCTGCTCAGGAGAACATTTCTGGGAGTAACCGGAGTGAGATCAGTTTATTCTCTGCATTTCCTCATTTGCACGACCAGCCCTATGCAGGCATTTGCATGTGACGCAGCCTCACTTAAAAAAACTTGAACGCGTGAAAATGCCCACAAATGTGAAGATGGTAAATGCTCAATATCCCAAGTTATGACAATAGCGACTAATATTGGTTATAAAATTAAATATCTTACCTGAATTTGCTTGTAAACAGTGTTACGGAAGTGCTCGTCTACGCAGCCGTTAATTGACTTGCCAAGATGAGCCGCTTTCCCAGTTAGCGCTGTAAACTGTTGGAGAGGACGCCCAGACACTCCATAAGTTTATAACAGGGTTTATAGACCGGAAAGCTTTGTGAAATAAGCAATTTAACATAAATATTTAACTTTCATCCATTTTTTTTTTACTTTTTTGAAAGTTTCCATCGAATAAAATCAATATTCATTTGTAAAAAAAAAAAAAAAAAAAAAAAAAAAAAATTACCCCTTTGTTTTTTTCTTTTGCTAGATCATTAAGCACTAAAAGTCATTGATTTTTAAAAACATCTTTTTTAAATTCAGTCACATGGTGACTAAAAATTGATGTGTTTTGTCTATAAAAATTAATGAGTTAGGTTATTCACCATTATTTTATAAAATGTTTATACAAGAAATTTCAGGCCTATCCAAATTTCAGAACTAAAGCCACTGCAGGTGTGAAAAATTGGCATAATCACATTGGTCAAAGAGTTTGAAAGTTAAAAAAATAGAAAATAACTTAAAATAGAAGATAACTTTTGATAAACTTTAAAAATTTAAGTTACAGATGCGGGTAGAGATACTACAAAAGTACTGATCATTAACAGGTTTGAAATTCCCTATGATTTGTGAGACGCAAGTGAAATTGTAGGTGTGTTGAAATGTAGTCAGAGAACCTTCCCTTATAGCAGATGTTTATATACTTAGAAGACTACAAAAGTACTAATGTAACAAAAACAGTTCAGGTGATCATTTTAACCCCCTGCAATGTCAATACTCAAACATGCTCTTCTTATCAGTGTCCATGCACTGGGAGTAAATAGAATCTAACACTTGATCTGCAACTTGATCCAGTTTGTACAACTGATGATATAAAGAATATCATGATAAAGGTTGAGATGGCCTATGGCTGGACTTTTTCTTACATGCATGTGTGTGTGTGTGTGTGTGTGTGTGTGTGTGTGCAAGCACATTGCATAGGTTTTGACACTAATGGGGTTGCTTTGGGGATTACTCCATCATATTCCATGGTTGTGGTACAGCGGTACGGGGATAAAAAGAAAAAAGTTTGAAATCTTGTTGCTGGTGTTTCTAAAAATTTTTGCCAAAAGTTTAAAAATAGTAAAACCTTTGCAAATGAGCTTGTTTGTGGGCAGTATTTTATCTGCTCATTTCATGAAATATGTCAATCTGTCTGCCCTTCTCATACAGTAAGTTTAACAGGCAACTTTTTGGAAAAAAAAAAACTTGAAAGATGATTGAAAATTTTATTAAAGCTGCTCAAAATGAGTACAAGAAGAATTTATTTTCTTCTTAGGATTACAGATAAATCTACCTTAAAACAGATTATCAAAATTTTTATCTGTGATAATCCAATCAAACTATGTTATCAAATTCTTATTCTACATTTTGACTAACAGACATAATTTACAAATCAATACACCATATGCAAAGTTGAGTATTTTACATGCTACTTCTTCTGAAGCAGTTCTACATTCCAACTCAGTCTACAGTAACATATTAAATCAACTCCTGAAATTTTTAACAAACTGCGGAAATCTGTCATATTTCCCTTTAGCATTCAATGTTTTTAAAACATCTCCCTCGTAATGGACTTTTTGGAGAAATAGACTATTTGAAGAAACCAGCTTTTATTACAGCATCCTCTGTCACTGCTACAGATGCTTCAGATCATTTTCCATTCCATATACTTTACTCTTCAACTGCTTCAGTTCATCCATCAGTTTCTTGGATCTGCCCGCTGTCCGCCGGACATTCCTCAGAATGACCAAGTCCAGATCATCTGGTCGCTGCTCCTCTAGACCCTCACCAAGACCAACAGTTACCTAGAAATATTGGTAATTTATAAAATATTCCTCAGAATGACCAAGTCTAGATCATCTGGCCGTTGTTCCTCTAGACCCTCACCAAGACCAACAGTTACCTGGAAATATTGGTAATTTATAAAATATTCCAAGATTATCTGTATTGAAATTGTATTTATTAAAATTGCAGAACTATATTACACTTAGCCCACAACTGTAGGAAAAAATAGACAATTTCTTGTTAAATATCCAGAATCAGACTCAAAAGCTTTGGTCTTAAACTATTTGCATCAGACTCTAAAGCTCTGGTCAAAAAATGCTCTCTTTGTGAATTCTCAAGGCTAATTTGATAACCCTAACATCATATCAAAGTGAGTTAATTGCTTAGAGTAATATCACATCATATTGAGTTAATTACTTAGATTAATATCATATCAAAATGAGTTAATTGCTTAGAGTAATATCATATCAAAGTGAGTTAATTACTTAGAGTAATATCACATCATATTGAGTTAATTACTTAGATTAATATCATATCAAAATGAATTAATTGCTTAGAGTAATATCATATCAAAGTGAGTTAATAACTTAGAGTAATATCATATCAAAATGAGTTAATTACTTAGAGTGAGTAACTGGACCAACTTCCTGTGATCTCACCTTGTACAGTTGTTTTTCCATCTCTTTCAGTTTGGCTCTGAGCATTTTGATATCATTCTTAAACCCTTCTACCTCCAGATTTCTCCTCTTCTCCAGCTCCTGATACCTGGCATTCATCAGCTGTAGTCTACGGCTCATCTTATCTGTCCTCTCCTACAGTGAACAAAGAAAACTATATCAATAGTTATACTCCAGCTCCTGATACCTGGCATTCATCAGCTGTAGTCTACGGCTCATCTTATCTGTCCTCTCCTACAGTGAACAAAGAAAACTATATCAATAGTTATACTCCAGCTCCTGATACCTGGCATTCATCAGCTGTAGTCTACGGCTCATCTTATCTGTCCTCTCCTACAGTGAACAAAGAAAACTATATCAATAGTTATACTCCAGCTCCTGATACCTGGCATTCATCAGCTGTAGTCTACGGCTCATCTTGTCTGTTCTCTCCTACAGTGAATGAAGCTCATTTTTTATTATCGCCCCTTCAATGTGGAAAGAACTTAAGCAGGTGTGTTTTTTAACCTTTTTATTCAAACTGTTTTTGAAATCATTCTAAAGAACTATAATTCTTTCAAACATTTGAAGGTCAGTTTTTATTTGCATTCAAATAGTATTTTAATCTATGTCACTATAAAGCCACAAAACTACTTGTCCTACTAAAATCAAAACATCAGTGCCTTTTCAATTGTCAAATATATTTTCTATTTGAATGCCAATTTATACAGGTTTAGTAAACAAGCAATATGAATATTTCTGTAAATAATAAACCAAATTTAATGTTATGCCCTCGTATGACAACTAACCTTAAATATATCTTTGCTGACATCTCCTTCCTCTCGTATCCTTGCTCTCTCGTCCTCTAGCTGTATCACCTGCTCCCTGTACATATCTGACATCTTCACTGCCTGCTCCAAGTCATACTGCAGAGCCTGGTAAGGTACAAAATATTAGGTTATTATATAATATAACCATATCAATTAAGTCTTCACAGCCTGCTCCAAGTCATACTGCAGAGCCTGGTAAGGTACAGGACAAAACATTAAGTTATAATATAAGATAACTATATTAATAAAGTCTTCACTGCCTGCTCCAAGTTAATGTATCAAGACAATGTATTTCACAAGTAAGCAGATAATCACATATATCAGGTTTGATACTAGCCTAATAACACTTCACAAACAGCATCAACAACAACAACAAAAGTATCAGTTGGTTTCTTAACATATGATATAATGTAATGTCTGCATGCTATGTTTACTAGATTCCTGATCATATCCCAGCACATGTACCTCCACCTCCACCTCTCTCTTCTGTTTGGCATCCAAAGCCTCATCTGAGACATTGAGCACTTTGTCCCTACTGATGTTCAGCTGCTGTTTGCAGACATCAAGCTCTCTAAGAAACTGGTCCTTCTCTGCCATCCAGCGGCGTTCATTGGCTCTGCCTTCATAGCGGAGTTCAAGAAAGTCTTTTGTGCTGTCATAAAGTAAATCTTGGGTTTTTGTTAATCTGAAAAAATAATATCAGGAAAAAACAAGAAAAATAAATAATCTTAAGACATGTAAATGTAATATGACCATAATAACATCTCTCTCTCTCAGGCATAAACTCACTTTTCCAGCAAAGTCTGTATTTTATCATGATCTCTCTGTCTCCTGGCCTCATATTCTTCTATCTTCACTCTCCTGTCCTCCAGAAGACCGTCCACATGGTCTTTAGCCAGTCGTGTCTGCTCCTCTAGCTGCGCCTGCAGAGCTTCCACCTGAGAGAAGACACTTCATCAATGCATTCAGAGGGTTTATTTCATTGTTCTCAAGAAATGGGGTCTGGTCACCGAATAGTATAAAGGAAACCTGATGTGATTCAGGACCCTTGGGGAGAGATAGGCAGGCAACCAATTTTTGTTGTAGGCCAATAATATTACTTATTATTCATAAAACAGACTGGGCATACTAGTTTTTCTATTATCTCAGATCCCAAACTGTTTGCTGACTGTAGTGTCAGTGACCTCACCTGTAGTGTCAGTGACCTCACCTGTAGTGTCAGTGACCTCACCTGTAGTGTCAGTGACCTCACCTGTAATGTCAGTGACCTCACCTGTAGTGTCAGTGACCTCACCTGTAGTGTCAGTGACCTCACCAGTAGTGTCAATGACCTCACCTGTAGTGTTAATGACCTCACCTGTAGTGTCAATGTCTGGTTGTCACTGTTGTACCTGTCCTGGTCTGAGGGAGAAGCATTCTGGTCCACCACACCTAACACTTTTCTCTTTCCTTGAAAAGAATGACATTATTTTTTGGAAAAAAATGCCAAAAATGTAAGGAAAGTAAGACTCAGTTTTATTTCTACACACAACTGTAAATAGCCTTGTTTGCCAAAAAGTTTGCCAGTCTGATCTTGTAATGCTATTCAATTTTTTTTTATACATGACAATCAAATCATTTACTATTCTTCTATCTCTAAAATATGTGACTGACTTTTTAAAGCTGTTTGGTACAATATTAGAAAAAGAACTTCTATATTTCTGTTGAAATTACAAAGCTAAGCTGACCAAACTGTCCAACAAGTAAAGATGAGGTTTGGCATTTCATAGATGTAAAACTGGCATATCATCTTATGTCAAAATCACACTGATGCTCTACAGTTACCTTTGTGCTGCCTTGAGATAGACTCCCCCCTTGCCTGAGATGGCACCCCCTTGGCCTGAGATGACACCCTGTGAGGCTGTCTCTGTGGAATGATAGGCTTGGCTGGAGGCTCCTTGAAGAAGTAAGACACCTCTCCCTCACTGACTCCACTGACTGCCAGCAGCTGGTGGATCTTCTTCCTGTCATCTAGCTCACGGATCTGAAATCACAAACAGGCCTTTGTTTACTACACTGGTGGTGACTGACAGCATCTGATATCACAAACACGACCATATGTACAATACTGGAGTCATCAAAGACTGACAGCATCTGATATCACAAACACGACTATATGTACAATACTGGAGTCATCAAAGACTGACAGCATCTGATATCACAAACACGACTATAT